TTCATCATCTCCTGAATTATGGAGTGGATCTCATGTTCACCTATTGCTACATGGCAGATAAGTTGAAAATTCACGGTGTGTGGTATTCTGGAGGCCAAAAAAATCGCAAATAACCAATTAATTTTTTTAAGTGAAAAATCCATCGATCATATACGTTACGTATTTTAACTAGACTGTACTTGGTATATTCCCCGCTTCACACGATAGAAGTTTGACGAAAATGTGTGCATTGATATACGGAAATGAATAACAATAATCTACATGTGGTAAGCTATTTTGTACCGCTAAGTACACATGTGCTGAGCAATATCCAGTATGTGATCAGTGTGATCAAAGATGTAATCTGTCCAATCTTGAAAATGCATTCGTATCGTGACATGTAAAGATTAACATACAAGAACCGCTGCACATGGTTTCATCATGACGCATGTACAGTACATATTGCAAATGAAAAGGATCTTGTGGTAAGCACATTTACTGATGAAGGCTTTTCTTGTTATTTCGACGATACATAATGCGCCCTACACGTATAATATGTCTTGTACAGCGTAACAATCGGCAGTTCATGTTAGCCGGTGACGGAAGTCTTTGCTTATTGATGAGCTCATCAGCCCTAATCCCAAAGGTACAAACGATGGTGATGCTCCGTAGAACACGGATGATATATACATGCAGTAGTACAGTACATACATTACTTCATGATCACGTATACTGTCTCACTTTCCGACCGGTGAGTCACACGACTGCCAGCTAACGCGTTTGATGTTACTGTAAGCAGACGTACCAGCATAGTGGGTGACCATATGAGAAGAACCATGCAGAGCAGTTGCTCTTTTTACCCACATATTCCAGAGTTTGGAATATTTGCGGTTGCGTTCTATGTAGTATGACTAAGGTAATGAACATGCAAGATCCACTCCTTCAATTGAAGAAACAAACTTCCTATGTACCGTACTTAGTTTGTCATAAATAAGTACTGTCCTAAGCTGTTAATGTACGAACCTTCATACTGTGCATTACAGTAATATGCAACAGTCTCTGTAGTACGTCCGACCTGAAGAACGCATGAAGCGTGTCACAGAAAAGCATCAGAAATCGTGCCCTCGTGAAGTCTCTTTATTCCTACAAAGTTTTACCTTATTCATTAAAATAAGTTCTAAGATGCAGTACTTGAGAACGACGCCGACCAGGACTATGTAAAGTTGATGTACAGTACCAGATGAGCACATATATGACGAATTTTTTTTCAGGGGTGGCTGTCTGACTCGCCCACCCAAACCATTAATGTACCACTCGAATCATCTAGATGTTCCAGATTTTTGAAGCGTAGTATCCTCAGTAGGTGATCGTGATGCAAGACAACGTGTGGATATCGTCCTGTACGGCGAAAGTTGCCACTGAGTGAAGCTCTCTGTCAAGATTTCTGGAAGTGTGAGGAAACTGAATCGGATCTGCTGCTAAGTTCTCTGTGCATTATCTTTCCTTAGGAGAATAAATTTTATTCCGTGTAAGCGATACGTCGAGCATTTACCGCCGTGCTTTACTGTCGAAAATTAAGCATGAATAGTCATTACTCTCAGCATCGAACCCGCGGGTTCACCATTGACGGACTNTACCGTGACGTTGTTCTGGACGCAGCTATGTTGCTTATTGACTTCATTGAGATTTTCCGCTTCCTGGTGGCGATTATGACCTCGAACAAGAAGAAGGAGGTAAGCTTGGGCTTCTACGAAAATTCTTATCGTATTATTCGAGAAGACCGTTTCTGAAGAACAAAGTTGCTTTTAGAAATGTTTTGAGTATCAGATTCCACTGATGGATTCCCGGTATCCAAAGATTTACCCACTGTGCTGTGAGACACTTGTTATTGCACGTGTTGGATTTTTTTACGCTGTCCATAACGAAGACGCAGTTTCATTTATTAATTTTCATGAATTAATTAATCCATCAATTAATTTTTTTATATACAGTACTGTTGGCTGGAGTCACTGGCAGCCGAAACTAGCAATTCGAGTTTACTCAAAGTTCTCCGAAGTTCCGTTTCCTTTCGGGTTCCTGCGTTGTACATTTGAGTATTAAAGCTGCATCGTGCAAGATGTGATGGGATTTGAACGACAGAGTGGCGTGTAAAAAAAGTTCTTCGTAACCATTTTTCATCTTTTTGGCCACCATCATTTTATTTCTAGCCTCCTCGGCGTGTTTTGAAGGCGTCATTTCAATTTTTCACGTGTTTTTCGATAAGAAAGAACTGAATATTATACACGAGATACTGGTTAACGTTTTGGCCCATAACTTATGGTTAGAAATCAGCGATGATTTTTGTGAATTAAACCCCTGATCCCTTACGCCATAAGTGTATGCATTGCTCGAAATATGTAGCATTATTTGTTAAGAAGGTTGTGTGGCGAGTAGACCTGTCATCTTATAATGCGTCTTACGGAGTGTGTTGTCATCTTTTATTTTACAGAAGCGAGAAAACTGAACGAGGTGTGCGTGGTGGCGTCACAATTGCCAGTACCGGGACTAGCTCTGACCGGAAGGAAAATCGGCTCATTTATTCATCTTTCTATCTTAATGTTACGCTAAAATCACTGAGTTCGGGAACGGTTGTTTTCTTTTAATTATATCATTCGTTCGCAACTTTGTGTCCCTTCATCGAAGTTCCTATTTTTGAAGGATTTTGCGTTCTGGGTCGAAATTTGTAAATATTCCACTCGGAAAAAAATGATCGATGTCGAAGTAGTGTCGACCCTGGATGTTCACCGGAATTGGATCGCGCGGAAAAATTATGATAATGAAGCTCATTCGCTTCTACAATTGGTAATACTTTCATTTTGTTAATTCGATTTTTTGCGTGATATGTTGTTTCAGAAGTTTCTACAATTCGTAAAAGCGTTTCAGTGATATTAATCATTGTCAGTATGTCGTACACTCCGGTAAGTGCATTGAAAACCGTAGGACTTGTCTTTTCGTTTCGTTGTACTTGATGTTCTCTCGCCAGAGGACCAAAATTTTTGTTGGCCGATTACCGGAGGTTTGCAATGCTGAAGAGCTTCGCGCATTGTTCGAGAAATATGGAACTGTGACTGAGTGTGACGTGTTGAACCGTTTTGGGTTTGTTCACATGTCCACCGCTGAGGAGGCCGAAGAAGCAATTAAGTGTCTGAATCAAATTAATTTCAAAGGATCTCGGATTACCGTGGAACACTCGACTGGGAAACGCGGATGGCGTAGTCTAGGTGTAGCTAGGGGAAGTGTATCTCTGCGCTCGCCGATGATCGTTCGTTCGCCCGAATTACTCGACGGTAGATTTTCGAGTGTTTCTGCCTGCAGGGCCCCGGTTCGTTCTTGGCCTTTTTACGAAAGGCGACTTGACTCGTCGATGCAATCCAGTGCGACCGCCGCGTATTACAATGATTCATATTTCAGGTAGAGGCTTGTCTCTTGTATGAGGATGTTGTTCCATTGGTTGACAGATTATCTTCCGAGTTCATGGTCTATTTTCCGATGAGTTTTATAACTGAGTGACTGAAAGATCTCATCCAGTTGAATTCGTAATTTCGAAAGACCCCTTCGTAACTTCGAAAGTTGAATGTGTAACGGAATGAACGGCGAATCTCTTCCAGATTCATTTTGAATTTTTCATTCATAAAGTCTTCGAGAAAACGTTTCGTCAAATATTCTGAAGTCAAACCTCTTCAAGTCGAACTTGAAGGGAGCAGCGAGAAATATTGATTTAGGCAAAAAAAAATCTATGTTGGGGGAAAGAAGGAAGAATTACAGGAAATTGTAATTGGAGATATTCTTGGGTTCAAATTGCTTCCTAAACAAGTTGACGGAATGCTGAAGTTGAAGACTAGGTTTTATTTGCCCACCTAATCTTTCACTTCCTTTGAAAAGGCATCAAGTTACATTTTTTATTTGCAGTATTGGGTTCAAAATGAAAATATGCGAGCCATGCGTTGACCTGAGCACAAGTGATCCAAGAATGTAAAATAAGATTTCAGTTACAAATGGAATTTTGAATTTTTGATGAGCGCTTGAAATCAACTATGCGAACTTATCATTCCGTACGCACTGGAATTAGTTATAAAAATTGAGAAGTTGAAATTTTGGAAGTTTCCGCCTATGAATAATTGCGACTCTTCGTGTATTCGGAATTTATTCTATGAAGAATCAAAAACGCGTGCAGTAAACAATTGCGTTTTCAGTGAAAGATGCCCAATTTCTCTTTACGCTATTTTTTCTGCGCTCCCCTTGAAACCGCGAAAACCTTACCATGCGCGGAACAACCCTCGTGTATTACCCGGGTTTTGACTAAATGAACAATTCTTGAATCATGACGAGAGACCAGAAAACCTGGGGTACATATGA